AGAACGATAAGGGCTGGTGAGGTTGCAGAGAAAAACGAACTCTCATCTACTGTTGGTTGGACTGCAAAATGGTGCAGCCTTTATGGAAAATGATATGGAGGTTCCTCAAACAATTACAGATAGATCTACCATATGATCCAGCAATTCCACTGCTGGGAATATACCCAGAGGAATGGAAATCATCATGCCGAAGGGATACCTGTTCCCCAATGTTTATTGCATCTCTATACACAATAGCCAAGAGCTGGAACCAGCTGAAATGTCCATCATGTGATGAGTGGATAAGCAAACTGTGGTTGGTGCATCTCCACAATGGAATTCTACTTTGCTACAAAAAAGAACAAAATACTACCATTCGCAACAACATGGATGGACGTTGAGAAAATTATATTAAAAAACTGTGGTTGGTGCATCTCCACAATGGAATTCTACTTTGCTATAAAAAAGAACAAAATACTACCATTCGCAACAACATGGATGGACGTTGAGAAAATTATATTAAGTGAAACAAGTGAGGCACAGAAAGAGAAATACCACATGTTCTCACTTATTTGTGGGAGCTAAAAATTAATAAATAAATAAACACACAAACAAATCAAGGGTGGTCGGAAGAAGACAGAATAACCACAAAAATTCCTTGAACCATTTAAGCCAAGTCCACAGATATGATGTGTGTGGGGATGGGTGGAGGTGGAGAGGAACGGGTAAAAGGGCATGAAAATCAAGTACAATGTATTTTGAGAAGTAAAATAAATAAAATTAAATTAAAAAAATAGTTCTTAACACAAAGAAGTAACAAATGTTTCAGGCAATGGTTATATGAAGCACATGATATGATCATTGCACACAGTAAGGATCTATGCAAACATCATATTGTACTCCGTAAATATATACAGTTACTATGGGTGAATTTAGAAAAATAAATTAAAAAGAGAAGAAAAAAGAGATAGAGAGTAGAAGAGTGGTTACCAGATGCAGGGAAAGGGAGGTGGGCCAGGGAATGGTTGGTCGACTGGTACAAGTTACAAAGTTACAGTTAGATAGGAAGAATAAGTTCTGGTGTCCCAGGGTGACAACAGCTAATAATATTGTATCACATATTTCAATATAGTAAGAAAAGAGGATCTTGAATGTTATAACCACAAAGACATGATAAATGTGTAGATAATAGATATGCTAACTATTCTGATTAGATCATTATACAACATATGCATGTACCCTGTAAACATGTCAGATGAAAGAAGTTAAAAATAAAAAAAAAAACCCCAGCATGATGTTGGTTAAAACAGACACACACACTAATGGAATAGAATAGAGAGTTCAGAAATAAATTCACATATTTACAGCCAACTGATTTTTGACAAAGATGCCAAAAACATACATTTGAAAAATGACAGCCTTTTCAATAAATGGTGCTGGGAAAACTGGATAACCATATGTAGAAAAATGAAACTAGACCCCTATCCCTCACCATATACAAACGTCAACTCAGAATAAATTAAAGGCTTAAATGTAAGACTGGAAACTACAAAACTCCCAGAAGAAAATATAAGAAAAATGCTTTAAGTCATTGACCTGGGCAAATATTTTGTGGTGAAGACTTCAGAAGCGCAGACAGCAAAAGCAAATATAAACAAATGAAACTACATCAAACTAAAAAGCTTATTCACAGCAAAGGAAACAAACAACAGAGGGTAAAAACAACCTGCGGAATGGGATAAAACATTTGCAAACCATCTGACAAGTTGCCAGAATATATGAAGAATTCAAACAGCTCAACAGCAAAAATAAAGAATAATCCAATTAAAAAACGGGGAAATGAGTTGAATAGACACTTCTCAAAAGGAGACATACAAATGGCCAACAGGTATATGAAACAAATGCTGAACATCACTGATAATCAGGGTAATACAAGTCAAAACCACAATGAGGTATTAGTTCACCCCAGTCAGTATGGCTGTTACCAAAAAGTCAGAAAATAACAAATGGTGGTGAGGATGGAGAGAAAAGGGAACTCTTACACACTGTTGGCGGGATTGTTAGTACAACCATAATGGAAAACAGTCTGGAGATTCCTCAGAAAACTAAAAATAGAACCACCACATGATCCAGCAATTCCACAACTGGGTATTAATCCAAAGGAAAGGACATTATTATACCAGAGATATCTCCACCCCATGCTTATTGTAGTACCATTCACAATATCCAAGGTATGGAATTAACCTAAGTGTCCAGCAACAGATAAATGAACAAAATGTGGTATATATACACAGTGGAATACGACTCAACCATAACAAATAATAAAATCTTGTCATTTGTGGCAACATGGATGAGAATGTAAGACATTATGTTAAAGAAACAGGTCAGGGGGCCGGCCCGGTGGCACACTGCTACAGTGCGCCGCTTGGGAGTGCGGCGGCGCTTCCGCCGAGGGTTCGGATCCCACATACAGACCGGCCGCTCACTGGCCGAGCGAGGTGCGGGCATGACACCGAGGGTTGCGATCCCGTTGCTGGTCCTGGTCCGGTACGGGCGCGACACTGAGGGTTGCGATCCGTTGCCGTTCACGAAAAAAGACAAAAAGGAAAAAAAAAAAAAACAGGTCAGGCACAGAAAGAGAAATAATACATGTTCTCACTTATATGTGGGAGCTAAAGAAATTGGGTTAATAAATGTAGAGAATAGAATTGTGGTTACTAGAGCCTGGTAAGGGTAGAGAGGTGGGGGATTGCAAGAGTTTAATTAACAAATACAGACTTATAGCTAGATAGAGAGAATAAATGCTAGTATTTTATGTGGTGCTAGGTGAGTATCATTAACAATAATTTACTGTATATTTTCAAATGACTGGAAGAGAGGAGTTCAAATGTTTTCAATATAAAGAAATGATAAATGTTTGCAGTGATGGATATGCTAATGACCCTGGTTTGATAACTATACATTGTATACATGTGTATTAGCTCTGTTGCTTATAACAAAATACCTAGAATTGGTTAATTTGTAAGAAAGCTGTGGGTTTTTTTTTTTCTTTCAGTTCTGTGTTGGATTCTTCACCATTCCCACCACTTAAATTCTGCACTGGAACTAATATTTGTTGTCCTTTTGGTTATTTCTAGAATAGGGGAACTTGTGGGAACCAGCACTTGAACCCAGAGGTTTAGCTAAATTGCTCCTTTGCTGCTGATTCCCTGGGGAAGGCTTTTTGTGCAGCTCCAGTTTTTTTTTTTTTTTGTCTTTTTTCATGACTGGCAATGGGATCACAACCCTCGGTGTCGCGACCGCACCACGCTCAACCAGTGAGCGGACCGGTCTCTATATGGGATCCGAACCCTCGGCGGGAGTGCCGCTGCGCTCCCAAGTGCCACACTCTACCGAGTGCACCACCAGGCCGGCCCAGCTCCAGTTTTAATTGTTGGTCTTGTAAGCACTTCTGGGTCTTGTGATGTCTGGTATACATGGATTGTATAGAAACTTGGTCTGGGCCTGAGTCTTTTCAGTGAACTGCACCCACTGCAGTTCTATATTCCTGACAAGTCTCCACTGAGTGGGGCTGTACTGATTGGGGGACAAATCAGCTGTCTATGCTGTGCTCCAATGTTCCCCCAGTGGGACAGTCTTCCCCACACATCCCGCACTACAAACACTTCCCATGGGGTGGGCTGTGTGCTGGTCCCTTGCGATGACTCACCAGCCTCCAAGTGGCTCCTTTTTTCAGTTGTCTGTGGCCCCTCACTCCTAATGTGGGTCCAAGAGAACCCTGTTAGTGGTCTTGCTGGCCTGGAGGTCACCAAGGCCCTCTTCTCCCCTGCAGCCTTCAAGCAACCTCATATGAAGGGCATAGTGGCAGCTTTTGCCATCTCTTGCTCCGTGTGCTCACCAGGGCCAGCCTTGAAGTAGCCAGGGCTCAAAATGGCTGGAACGGTCCTTTCTTTCTCTCATGTGGCTTCTCCTGCCTTCGTGAACTCTGTAGGTCTCTCCTCCCCTTCCTCTGAGCTCTAACGGCCCCAGCTTGGCAGTTGTTGCTTTTTAATTGTTGTAAATTGGTTGATTGTGGGAGAGAGTGACGCTGGGTACCGTCTATTCCACCATCTTGATCGAAGGTCTCAAAATTCAGATGATTTTATTCTATCTTCCTTTACTTGCAATTTCTGAATGGGCTTATAGAAATAGTTCATATTTTAAATAATTTTCTTGTTAAGTTTAATGCAGAAATGGATGGAAATTAAAAACTAAAAACAATTTTAACTGACTTATATGATTAACAAGTTATTATTTTGGCGTTCCCAATTCTGCTGAAGTCTAACATTTTAATTTTCAAAGCTATTATATAACAAAAACTGATGAAATCGAGTAGACTTACACTTATAATCTGACCACTATAAAACATTAACTCTTTTTAGCTTTCCACATTCCCTCCAATCCTCATGTGCAGGAAATGACATTCACATTTACAAACATGTTGAAAATCAATAACATAGAAAAATGTTTATTTTTAATAATGCTACATCACAAACATTTTATTGGCTTAATTAGCACATGTTAATATTTTATTTTTTCTTTTCTTCACTATTCATGCAATTGAAAATGTTTGTGTTCTAAATTTTATTATTAGCATTTTATCTTATAAAAATTTGTTGTAATATGACTTGATTACTTACTTATTGAGATGATTGTTGCATATATTGCATCTCAATATGTGTGACCTAAAGTATATGACTGTTTTTCTCTGGATATTTAGAAGGATAGTATTGTTCTCCTTGCCTTTTTATTATTCAAGGTGAAATGAAAGCAGAATAAGTAGTAGCTTGGAACACAGTATATGTTGCTAAAATGAAATCTCTAAGACACCAGGGCTTGGAGCAGGGGCTTTGGATACCTGAGGTATAAGAACAGCATCGGGAATACAAAGACAATAAGAAAGGAAGGACGGGGCACTGAATTCAAATTTTATGGATGATTCTGGGTCTTTAATTTTTTTTTTTTGTTTCTGTGCCTGGCAGGAAAATGAGAATGGACATGGTTCTAAAGAAGTGTGCTATACCGTCATTAATCACATCACCCATTGGAAACCCTCCCTGAGCTCCAGTGATGATGGTTATGAAAACATTAACTTCACCACAAGGACAGTGAGACAGTGCAGACCAGAGCCAGAGACAGAATATGCCCTTATTAGGTCTTCTGTGACTAGGCCTTCTTCCTGCATCCAAGAACATGATTATGAACTTGTGCTTCCACAATAAAACCCTCAAGTTGTCTCATTACCTTCCAGCAGTGAAGACACAGAATAACAGACTCTTCGGGAGTTCTTCACTCTCAGAAGGTCATGCAACATTCTGAGTTTATGGCCAGAGTTTAGAAATGATATCATTTTGCTATATTGCCTTGGGCAACTCTGAAACATGGCATTTCTGCTGTTTGGGTAAAGCCATATTAATTGACACAATAGCATAGAGTATTCTGTATGTTTTTGCATGTAAAGTTTAGAGACCTAGAGATGGCAAAAAACCTCCCTAGGACAATAAGCATACACAGGTATATGTCTTAGAATCTTCAATTCCAACTCCACTCTTAAATTTCAAATGCTGCCAACATCTTCACTTTCAATCATCTATTTCATTCTTGAGGTATAATCTACTCAATAAACTTTTAAAATATAAGACCACTGACCAGACCCTTTGCTATTTACTTCCATTTACTTTGCTATTTACTTCCATTTTTTCCTTTCCTATGTACTACAGATTTTTGCATATAAACTTGTAGTAATAGTTCAAGAATCAGTAAATTTTGATATTGACCTTTCTGTAAAGAGAAACAGAAAATGTCACAAAAGAAAAAAAAGATGAAATGAACCAGATAATAGTTATCCATGATTGCTTTTCTGTCCAATAGTAAATTGAGGAATTCTATTCAGTAAAAAATGAAAAAAATGAAAACAAGGAGGTGGGTCAAGATGGTGGACTAGAAATGCCCAGTGCAGGATCCTCCCACAGGAAGGGAGCAGAGCAAGGAAAGGACAACTAAGTAAGGGGGAAAGCATCACTGGGAGAGCATGGGAAGGCAGAGGGAGCCTGTTGAGGACCCTGTGTGTCATGAAAACCAAGCAGGGTAGTGTAGAGGAGAAACAGACATGTGACTTCGGACACTGGCATGTCTTCCAAACCAAGATTAGCCATAAGGAATTCTCCCTTGAGTTGGAAAGAATCTGCTTGGACATTAACACTTCCTGGGGGAAACCCTCCTCCTGCTTCTGCCCCAGCCTGCCCGCCCCCCCACTGCAGTTGCCTGTGCCATTGTCTAGTCCCAAATCTGTGGGCCTTCCTCCTGCACAGGAGTTCATCCTGCACAGCACACCTCATTGCATGGCACATGTTGCTTACATGCCAGCAGGCACCTGAGTAGCTCCAACCTTCCAGCAGCTTGTGTGGCCCAGGACACCCATGTGACCCCAATCATCCAGCCACAAGCACAGCCCCATCCAGAGACCTGGACCCAGCTGTCAAGCTGCTTGTGTGGCTCTACCCACCCATGTGGGCCCAGCTATCTTGCTGTCCTTGTCGCCTCAACCCTGACCATCCATGCAGCTCCACCTGTCCATGTGACCCCAACTTCCCAGCTACACATGCGGCCCTACCCACTTATGTGGGCCTGACCATCAAGCCACCCACATGGTCCCAGCCACCCAGCCACCCATATGGCCCCACTTGCATACGTGGGTCCAGACATCCAGATGCAAGTATGGCCCCAGCCCCCCTGCCTGTCCACCCACCTATGTTGGCCCAGCCATTTGTGCAGCCCCAGCCACAGGATAGTTGCCTGCATCCCCTGGAAATACTGAGTCTACCCAGAATGACTGAGTCTACCAGAAACAACTGAGTCTATCTGTAACTACTGAAACTACTGAGTCTACACAGAACCAAAACTAAAACACCCTGCCCACTGGGCAATATATAACAAATATACAAGGAGGAGACTCTATCCTTAAAAGCCACCCCAGGGTAATAAAAGAAACAACCATCAGATAACTAGGCACTAATGTAGGGATATTCAAAATGCAAAAAAGAAAAAAAAAAGAAAAAAAAAGAAAACATGACACCACCAAAGGAGCACTATAATTCTCAAATACCAGACCACATGCAACAGGAAACTCTTGATATGTGTGAAAGGGAATTCCAAGTAACAATCTTAAAGGAACTCAATGAGATACAAGAAAACTCAGTTAGACAATAAAATGAAATGAGAAAATCAATCCAGGACATGAAGGAGGAAGTTTACATAGAGATATCATAAAAAGAATGTATCAGAACTCCTAGAGTGGAAAGACTCATTCTACAAAATAAATACTACAACTGAGAGTGTAAGCAGCAGACTAGAACAAGTGGAAGACAGAATTTCTGATCTTGGGAACTTCTGAGTCCCTATCAGGCTAACATCAGACTTCTCAGCAGAATCTCTACAGGCCAGAAGAAAATGGGATGATATATTCAAAGTACAAAAAGAAAAAAAAAATGCCAGCCAACAATATTATACCTAGCAAGGCTATCCTTCAGAAGTGAAGTGGAAATACTGTATTTCTCAGACAAAAAACAACAACAACAACAACAAAAAAAAAACTGCAGGAATTCATCATTATACAACCAGCTCTGCAAGAAATCCTTAAGTGAGTCCTGTACCTGAAACCCTAAAAAGGATAATCACCACCAAGTATACACGAGAAAGAACAAACACCACTGGTAGAGCAGATATGCAAATGAGAAAGAGAAAGAAACTATACCAGATCACCTCAAAAGCCAATAAACAACAAATACAAATAATAAAAGGGAAAGAAAGGAACAAAAGATATTTAAATCGACCATAACACAAGAAATTAAATGTTAGGAATAAGGCAATACCTTTCAATAACAACCCAAAATGCAAGTGGACTATATACCCCCAATCAAAAGGCAGACTGGCTGATTGAATTTAAAAACTAGACCCAACTATATGCTGTCTGAAAGAGACACATCTCACCTGTAAAGACACACAAACTAATAGTGTGTCTATTAGTTGACACAATAAGAAATGGAAAAGGATGTACCGCACAAATGGAAATAAAAAAATGAGCAGGGATAGCTATTCTTATATTGGATAAAATAGACTTTAAACAAAAAAACATAAAAAGAAACAAAGAGTACCTTATACAATGACAAAGGAATCTATCCAGGAAGAAGGCACAACAATCATAAATATATATGCACCCAACATTGGAGCACCTAGATATATAAAGCAAACACCATTAGACCTAAAGAAAGAGATAGACCCAAATACAATAATTGGAAACCTGAACATATCTTTATTAGTCTATTTTTGTGTTGCTATAATAGAATACACGAAACTCGGTGATATATAAAGAAAAGAGGTTTATTTAGCTCATGATTCTGAGGCAGCTGCATCTGGTGCAGGCTTCAGGTGGAAATTGGCAGGGAGCCAGCAGGGACAAGCAGATCACATGGCAAGAGGAAACAAGAGAGAAAGAGAGGGAAGGTGCCAGGGTCCTACAAACAACCAGTTCTTGCAGGAACTAATACAGCAAGAGCTCACTCACTACCCCCACTCCCCAGGGAGAGCATTAATCCATTCATGAGGGATCCACCCTCATGTCTAAAACAGCTTCCAAAAGTACCGCATGGGGGAGTAGATGCCCACATGAGTTTTGGGGGGACAACACATCCAAACTCTATCATTCTGACTCTAGCACCCCCAAACTCATGTCACTCTCACTTACAAAATACAATCATTCCATCCCAACAGTCCCCAAAATCTTAGCTTGTTCCAGCACCAATTTAAATGTCCAAAGTCCAAAGTCTCATCTGAGACCAAAGGCAAAATTCCTTCCAGCTGTGAACTTGTGAAAATCAAAAACAAATTTATCTACTTCCAAGATACAATTGTGGAACAGGCATTAGTTACAAATTCCCATTCCAAAAGAGAGGAATAGGCCAGAAGAAAGGAGAAACAGGCCCCAAACAAGTCCGAAATCAAGCAGGGCAGACATTAAATCTTAAAGCTCCAAATAATCATCTTTTGCTCCAAGTCCTGCCTCCTGGACAAAATGGGGCATTTGAGCCCACAAAGCCTTGGACAGCCCTGCTCCCACAGCTCTGCCAGGAACAGCACACTGGGCTGTCCTGGTACTTGCAGCTTTTCCAGGCCAGCATTACGTTGTCAATGGCCCTACAGTTCTGGGGTCCTGGCTGCAGCCCCACTCCCTTGGATCTGCTAGACATTTTCCCAGTGGGGGCTTTCTGTGGGGGCTCCAACCCCATATTTCTGCTCAGCATGCTCAAGTAGATGGCCTCTGCAGTGGCTCTGTCCCTGCAGCAGGTCTCTGCCTGGGCCCCCAGGCTTCTCCATGCATCCTCTGAAATCCAGTTGAAGGCTGCCACACCTCCACTGCTTTCATGTTCTGCCAGCCTGAAGACTTAACAGGAGTGGACATCACCAAGGATTCTGGTTTGTGTTTTCCAGAGCTGCTGCATGAACCACATTTGGGGTTGCTTGAGGTGGGGCTGCTCCAGCCAGAGCAGCTGGGATGCAGGGAGCAGGTTCCTGAGGGCAGCGGTGCCCCAGGTCTGTCCTCTGCAACAACTCAGTCCTCCTAGGTCTCTGGGTCTGTGATGGGAGGGGCACTCTTCTAGACTTCTGAAATGCCTTCACGGCCTTTCTCCTATTGTCTTGGTTGTTAGCACCTGGCTGCCTCATCACCAAGCTAATGTCTTTAGCAAATGAGTCTTTCTTCTGCACCCTTGTATTTTTCTCCTGAAAGGGCTCTCTCATTCTCTACCACAAGGCCCAGGCTCCAAATTTTCTAAATCTTTATCCTCTGCTTCCCTTTTCAATTCTGGCTTTTCATAATGCCCTTATTGCCCTAACTCAGCATAGGCTGTTACAAGGAGCCATGCAGCTATCTGAATGCTCTGCTGCTTGGAAATTTCTTCTGCCGAACATTCTGGTTCACAACTCTTAATTCCCACCTTCCACAAAGTCCTAGGGCATGGACACAATGCAGCCAAGTTCCTTGCTATGGCCTAGCAAGGCTATTCCTTTGTTCAATTACTGATAAGTTCCTCATTTCTACCTGACACTACATAATCAGCATGGCTTTTACTGTCCACATTTCTATCAGCATTCTGGTCACAACCATTTAACCAATCTCTAAACAGTTCCAAATTTTCCCTCATCTTTTTGTTTTCTTCTAAGTCCTCCAAGCTCCTCCAACTTATTCCCATTACCCAGTTCCAAAGCTGCTTCCACATTTTCAGGTATCTGTAAAGCAACACTCCACTCCTCGGTACCAATTTTCTGTATTAGTCCTTTTTTTGTGTTGCTATAACAGAATATTTGAGACTGGGCAATTTATAAAGAATAGAGATTTATTTGGGTTATGATTTTGGGACAGCTGTATCTAGTGTGGGCCTCAGGCTGCTTTTACTCATGACAGAAAGTGGCAGGCAGCTGGCAGGTACAAACAGAGCACATGATGGGAGGAAGCAAGAGAGAGAGAGGGGGAGGTGCCAGGGTCCTATAAACAACCAGCTCTTACAGAAACTAATAAAATGAGAGCTCACTCCCTATCCCCACCCCCAGGGAGAACATTAATCCATTCACAAAGGATTCACCT